TGTGTCTTGCTGTTTCAGCTAATCTTTTGATTTTCTTACCTTGAAATTAAGGTGTCTGTTAGGCTGAATGTAAGCTGCCACAACAACACGGGGAAATACCTTAAGTGGATTGGAATGAATTTATTGCAAACTTGAAAGCATATATTAGGGAGAATATTTACGCCGTGATAAGCTAAGCTTCGTATTCACTTGAGACCCTTTCTTCCAAAGTATACCCTTTTTATATTTATCGATGAACGGATTAGCTTCTCTTAAGCAACCCACTGTCAGCGTTTATGTGGGTAAGGAAATATAGAAATCTTTTGTCCTTCCTTTCGATTGATTTATAGTTTACGTCGATTATTGTTGCCAGAGGAGGCTGCTAATTTTGTTTTTCTCCAGTGATTTAAATATCATATTTCTACAAATTTCTAAACCTCTTTCATTTATCTTTTTGTTTATTTTGTCTGTACATGCCGCTTTCCCGATAAATCCTATCATTTGTGAAATGGCTGATGGTGCTGACGCTCGATTCCTGAGTTCTTTCGTCCTCCTCAAGTTTCTATTGTCTTTGCACAATACAATTTAGTTTAATCTTGGCTTTCTGATTATTCAAAATGGTGGTTCCTGTTTGCCATATTCCTTCAAATAGCACACAGCTCCATTCTAATGCAGAATTGGCGTGATCAGTTATATTTGTTTATTACTGCTATTTATTTGTTAAGTGCACATAATGGTATATTGAAGATGAATTTTCTCATCTCTTGAATGAATTAAGACTGCATTTCCTGATTATAACTGTATTCCCCTAAAGGAGTAAAAATGTGTTGTGATCCCCTTTTTTTAATAATAACATTGTAACTGGGTGTATGTGAGCTTATAAGTTTGGAATTTATTTCTCATTCATTTGTCATTCTTTAACACTTAGTTAAAATTTTCCCATGTTTTCACTAATTAATCACATTGTACCTGGTTTTTGTATACACTAAAGATAGAAGATAAGTATAGGTTTTACAGTTTCCACAATTATTGCTATTTTTTTAAAAAAAAGTGATGCCTTCTGAGACAGAAGGTGTACAAATTTGGTGCACTATGACCGATCTTTTACCTACTTTCGGCAGAGTTCCTGCTTTTCAGCAAAAAATGTCCATTTAACTGTAATATTGCTTTGAGCGTTCATTGTACAAATCCAACTGAGAGGGAGTTTGTTGTACGAGAAACTTTTATAGCCTGTAATGTCATTGATCGATCACTGCTCCAACATCATCACCATCATCACATATTTCAACGAAGTCGGGTTGTGCTTTTTGATGACACTTCGATTACTACTAGTAGACGAATCTGAATATAATTACTTATTCTGTTTCTCGTAACTAAAATCTGCCTTGTTTCACCTATGAGTTGTCTAACCGTTAATCTTTGATTCCCCTTGATGTATGGTACATTAAATGTCATCGCTTTAACCGAACAACTTTCTTCACTTTTAGTTCTTTAATTCATCCAGAAAAAGCGCCCATGGTATCCCCAAAGGCCCAATTATCCGTCCATTCCAGAACCCTATAGATGAAAAGAAAGGCGTTCTAGACCTCCCACTCGAGCCAGATCTCTTGGGAGACAAGTTTATGCAGCCGGCCTTTCTTGGAGATTTTGGAGCTTTAGAAGGAACTGCAAATGATGCTCAGAAACCCAAAGAGCAACAGCCACAACAGCAGATGCAGGCTGGAAAGGGAATCAGTCTTCCAAAATTCAGTATAGAGGAGATTCGAGGCTCAGCAGATATGGACTCAAAAGATCCAGATTTGGCGTTGAAAAGATGGAAGATTAAAGAGGCGAGTGAACTATAACTCTTATGCTTAAAATTGATTGCATTAATGCTACTTCATGCAAACCAAAATAATTAATTAATATATTTATTTATTTATATCAAATTGCAGGCGTTTTGATGGTTATCATTAGCCATTTAATTGACTTCAGGCTTCACAGAGGGGAAGGAACATCAAAGTGAAAAAAGTCGAGAGAAGGGGAACTGAAGAGTGTTTCAAAGACGAAGGTTGAAAATTTAGAAAACATGTGATGTAGTACTGTGGAAGTGGTCGAACATGTCATACAGTGGGGTCATGGTAGTTTGAAGTCAAAGTCAACTGCCGGTTAATAAACTTTTTTGCCGTATGCGTATACGTTGCCCAGGATGCACCACATGGAGGTAAGTCTATCCCACGCCATGAGTCTTCATAGTAGAAAGTGGTGTTTAGGGCTCCTGTGTTGAGTGGCTGATGTGAAGAGATTTTATTGGTTCATCGCAGTAGGCTTTGACGCTTCCCTCTTGCGCATGTTACGTCTCTTGGTTGAAGTACTAGAATGTTCTAGCAAACATTTGTGAATATATCTATGTCCACAGCGAGGGGTTGTGCGATAGACTTGCCTCCAAGTGGTGCATCCTGGGCAACGTTTACTCATACGGCAAAAGAGTCAATTAATCAGCAGTTGGCTTTTGACTTCAAATTACTTTAACCCCACTGTATGTCTCTTTTACATCTGTGAATCATTATTCTGTCTCCCCTCTAGACATTTTGCCACTTTGGTGTTCCTTCCCCTCTGTGAAGCCCGAAGTCAACTAAAGGACTAATGATGACTATCAATATGCCTGCCATTTGATATAAATAAATTACTTTTAAAGTCATGATGAGTGCATAATTAACTTACATGTAATCATTAATAATTTTCTAGAATTTAGTTCACTTAAAAGCTCCTAGTTTACCGACAGATTTTTTAAAGCGTTTTTCAAAGGGGCCTAGATTGCTCAAAAGGGTGCATTGCACAATTGTCAAAATGTTAAAATTGTTATGATGTGTGATCTGAAGATTGCGCTAGGTTACGATACACCACAAGCAGTTGCTATAAAAGGAAGCATTTCTAGACGTACCTCACTGCAATTTGATATAATAATGTCAACAGCGAGACTTGGACGTTCTTTTGAGGGCTTTCATGTATCCGTTCGGAGTAGATCGGCATCGAACTTCTTCACTGGCAACTAGGTACAAATAGGAGGGAGAGAGGTGAACGAAAGCTTTCTAAAATGATAGCTTGTCGCATGTAGGGCGATTCCGGTGTGTTGTTGAAAGCGTTTTCCTACAGAACGAGGGATAATGCTGATATTAATATTATTATTGAGGTATTTGCACTCTAATTGACATTTCTTGGAGTTATCTCCGTACGTGTGGTGTTTTGATGGTTAGGGACTAATGATAAATATCATAAAGCCTGCCATTTGAAATAACAATAATAATATTTCGATGGTGATATTTTTTGTCAGTTTCCAGTTATTAAAAATCACATATAGATTTTTTTGGATAAAGTTTACAGAATAATGTTTGGCTTTGTTTCCAAGTGTGCTCAAGGTGCTTTCTCTTACTGAGCTTTCTCTAAAAGTTTGAACACTTCACTCATGTACGTGGTGACAAGGGTATGAAAGACGTAATTTCACTTGTACCATTCATGGGCATAATTTGTGTCATGATATTGGCGCCGGCCAACAAAATAAGCGAATTGTTGGTGCTTCTTGTTGCTATTTCAACATCGTGAAGATTCCAAAGCTGCTGTATCTAAAAGAGTGTACCATCATGGGTGATCCAGTCTGATCGTGCACGGAGATAAAAGCATTTAAGCACCCCGGAATCGGAATTCGAAGGTCCCACTCAACGAAGATCTCCATTTCTATAATTTCACGCAAAGAAAGGACCCAAAAATTGATTTAATTCTTAGCAAAAACAGTCAAATACGCATCTATGAGGGCCGTTCGTGTCAACGATTTTGTGTAAGGAACTAAATTCAACTTGTCGTCAACATCACCCTCAGAGAAGGACACACATCCGAAATCCATGGCGCTTTGGGGGGAAATTTTGTCTGTTTAATTAGAGGAGTGGCTTTGAACTGCGTGGAGGACAAACGTGTTGAGCTTTTTGATCTTGGAAAAAGTTCTCATTCAAGGATAACCGAAGTGTTTGTGTTTCAGCAGGATGTTGCAGAAGTTTCTTTACCATCGTCAAACGATCGTTGAGGGCCTTCCAT